GTAGTCGTAGTAGTAGGAGTAGTAGTGATAGTAGTAGTAGTAGTAGTAGTAGTAGCAGTAGTAGTAGTAGTAGTAGCAGTCGTGGTAGTAGTAGTAGTAGTAGTAGTAGTGGTGGTGGTGGTAGTAGTGGTAGTAGTGGTAGTAAAACTCGTTGTCGTAGTCGTAGTCGTAGTAGTAGTAGTAGTAGTGGTAGTAGTAGTAGTAGTAGTAGTAGTGGCACAAGTAGTACTAATGTTAGTGTAGTGGCACAAGTAGTAGTGGCACACGTAGTAGTGGCACAAGTAGTGTTCGTGTTAGTAGTAGTGGTAGTAGTGGTAGTAGTAGTAGTAGTCGTCGTAGTAGTAGTAGTAGTAGTAGTAGTAGTAGTAGTAGTGGTAGTAGTAGTAGTAGTAGTAGTAGTAGGAGTAGCAGTAGAAGCTGTAGTGGCATCAATGAGCAGAAGTATAATAATCGTCGTCGTCGTAGTAGTAGTAGTATTAATAACAGCATTCGTAACACAAGCACAAGTCGAATCAGTGGTAGCAAACATAATGGTATTCTGAAGAAGTAGCAGAAGTAGTAGTAGTAGTAGTAGTAGTAGTAGTAGTAGTCGTCCTGGTGGTCCTGGTGGTAGCAGAAGTAGTAGTAGTAGTAGTAGTAGTAGTAGTAGTAGTAGTAGTCGTCGGCGTCGTAGTCGTAGATGTAATAATAGTAATAGTAGGAACAGTAGTAATAGTACTCATACGAGTAGTAGAAGTGGAAGTACTTGTAGTAGTAATAGCGGCAATAGTAGTAGTAGTAGTCGCAGCCGTAGCCGTGGTATCAGTAGGAGTACTAGCAGTAGTACTAGCAATCATAGTAGTAGTAGTAGTAGTAGTAGTACTTGTAGTAGTAGTAATGTAGTAACGTAGCAGAAAGAATAGTAGCAGTAGTAGTAATAATAGTAGTAGTCGTCGTAGTAATAATAACAGTGAAAGCAGTAATCGTAGTCGCAGTCGTAGTAGTAGTACGACTATTAATAGTAATGAGAGTCGTAGTAGTGGTAGTAGCAGTGATAGTGGTAGCCGTAGTAGTAGCAGGAATAGTAGTAGCAACATATTAGTAGTAGTAGGAGTAGTAGTAGTAGTAGTAATGATCGCCGTAGAAATAGCATGAGTATGAATTACAAGTAGAAGAATGGTACATCGTAGTCGTAGTCGCAGTAGCAGCCGTAATAGGAAGGAGAGAACTAGCAGTAACCGTGGGACTCGGAGTAGCCGTAGTAGAAGTAGTAGTAGCAGTAGTAGTCGTAGTAATGGTATGAAGTGGAAATAATAAGAGGAGCAGTAGTAGTAGCAGTACTAGTAGTAGTAAGTAGTAATAACGACAGTAGTATGTGTCGTAGTAATAGTAGTAGTACTAGTAATAGTAATTGTCGTAAGAATAGTAGTCGTCGTAATCGTAGTCGTGAAAATACTACTAGTAGTAGTCGTAGTCATAGAAGCAGTAGTTGTAGTAGTAGTAGTCGTAGTAGTAGTAGTAGCAGTAACACTAGTAGTAGTAGTACTAGTAACAATTGTGGAAGTCGTGGTACTAGTGGTAGTAGTAGTAGTAGTAGTAGTAGTAGTAGTAGTAGTAGTAGTCGTGATGGGAATACGAGTCGTAGTAGCAGCAGTAGCAGTAGTAGTAGTAGTAGTAGTAGCCGTAGTAGTCGTCGTAGTAGTAGTAGTAGTAGTAGTAGTAGTAACAGTAGTAGTAGTAGTCGTAGTAGTAGTCGTAGTAGTAGTAGTAGTAGTAGTAGTAGTAGTAGTGGTAGTAGTGGTAGTAGTGGTAGTAGTAGTAGTAGTAGTAGTAGTAGTTGTTGTTGTAGTAGTAGTAGTAGAAGTAGTAGTAGTAGTAGTAGTAGTAGTAGTAGTAGTCGTCGTCGTAGTCGTAGTCGTAGAAGTGATAATCATAGTAGTAGTCGTAGTAATAGTAGTAACAGTAGTAGCCGTATCAGTAGTAGTAGTAGTAGTAGTAGTCGTAGTAGTAGTAGTAGATGTAGCAATCGAAGTCGTAGTATTCGTAGTAGGAGTTGTAGTAGTTGTGGCCGTAGTAGTAGTCGTAGTAGTCACAGTCGTAATCATCGTACGGGTAGTAAAGTTGAACATTGAACATATACAAATAATAATAATAATAATAATATTAATAATAATAATAATAATAATAGTAATAATAGTAATGGCGTAGCGGGGGGGACGATGAAATCAATAGTTTCTTCCCGGATCTGATAAGTCTAACCCTTGCAGTAGAATCAGGGCTCCTGGGGAGGGGAGGGGAGGAGGGGATTTTGGGATCGTTCACCAACATTATCCGCATCCTTGTCCTCATGTCCTCATCGTCCTCCCACCCTCATCCTCTTCCTGCTCTCCTCCTGCTCTCCTCCTCCTCCTCCTCCTCCTTCTCCCCCTCTCCTCCTCCTCCGCCTCGCCTCATCCTCCTCCCTTCCTCATCCGTCCTCATCCTCCTCCTCGCTGCTCCTCGCTCCTCCTACTCTTCCTCCTCATCTCACGAGCGACGCACAGATCAATCTCCGCGCCGCGCAGTCCCGCGGACACGCTCCACGCGGGGCATCCACGAACAAGACGCCAAGTATCCGCTGGGTCGTGATCCAGACACCCGGCCCGCGAGGCCGCGGACACTGCTATTCATGTGCTTGGCTCACGAGTGCTGTACCCGTAGCCGCCCACCACGACAGAGTCGCCACTCGACCGATCCCCCACCGCAAAATCAGGACGAGTCGAACAACGGACAGGCCGCACGCAGACCCCATGGGGGGGGGGGGGGGCTCGGCGCTGAGGCAGCGACGCGCAGCGCCCGACCGAGCCGAGCCGACCGAGCGTGGCCGACTGCGGCGCTGATTCGAGTGAACCGAAGGCATCTGGACTTGTCCCGGGGCCCACCAAAAAAAAGGAGGGGACCCTGAGGGGGGGGGCGGGGAGAGTTCGATCCGCTGGCGCATCGCATTTCCGAAAAACGATGCCCCCCCCCCGCGCGCCCCGATTGTCGACGCCTCTCGGGTTCCGGCGGCGGCCGGAGACCTCGTTTTGCACAGTTGTTCTGCGGCTCGAGGCGCCAACGGACCGAACTCCCCCCCCCTGTGGCCCCCCCCCTCCCATTTGCGAGGTCCCGAATCTGGACTTGTTCCATCTGGGCTTCGCCAGCCCAGGATCGCCGGACCAGACCAAGAGCTCTGGCCCCCTTGCGTTCACTGTGGGCTCTGGTCTTGTCCGCCCCGCGCGCTCTGCCGAGCTCGTGTCCCAAAGCCCTCTTCAGGAATGTTCTTGTTTTTTGTTTTTGGAAGCGGCAAATCTGAAGGGGCCCTGGGACACACAAATAAATACACACAAATAACAAAAAAACATGTTTTCCTATATTTTTCTGGGTTTCTGTCTTCCCCGCCACTTCCCATAATTTCCCATCTTTTCTGGGGAATCGACGATTAATTGTGCCTGTGTGTTTCTCTTCCTCCTGATCGTTTCCCGAATCCCTCTTCAAGAATGTTATTGTTTTTTAAAGCGGCAAATCCTTGTCCGAACTTACTCCGCCCTGGCGCGCGGAGCGCGCCAGGGGCGGCGACGGAGGCGCCGCCTGGGGGTCCCAGCGCAGATCCGAACAATCTGCGCAGACCTCCGAAAACTCATGTATCTGCCAATGACATAACTTATTGACGCGCTTCGCTCATTCCGCCGGTCCTGGAGCCCTCTTTAGGGCCTCTTGGGGGCCTCTTGGGAACCTCTTGGGCGTCTCTTGAGGCTCTTTGGCGGCGTCTTGGGGGCCCCCAGGGCCTCTTGGGGGGCTCTTAGGGCGGGAAGGGGGGTAGTCGATTGTGGCTCCCTCCTCGGAGGCCACGATCCTCGTGAGGGGTGTCGAAAAATGGCCCTCCCTTGGAGCGCTCTGGCGGCTTCTCCCGGCTAGTTGCGGGGTACTTTTCGTCGGGGGGGCCCCAGGGGCCGCTCCGCACGCGCGAACTAGAAATATTGTTGTTAACCAGTTACCGGAGATCTTAGCACGCCTCTGGCCCGTTGGGCCGGCGAATTCCTGGACCCGCTGGCGTCCCAGAGCGGCTCCGCAGACGCTCCGACGGCTGCTGCGCTCGGCTGCACGCAGGAGTGATCTCAGTCAGGCAAGGGCGACCTCTGGTGCGCGACTTTCGAGCGGGCGAGCCGGTGCCCAACCCGAGCGCGGAAGCCGCTGCGACAGCATCGCATTCAACCATCGGGGGATCCCAGTGTGCCCGCACAAATAGGGGAACAAACAATGACATAAACACAAAAACTCTGAGGTTCGCGCAGATTTCTCGGATCGGCGCTGGACCCCCCTCCCTGGCGCGCGGAGCGCGCCAGGGGCGGCGCTGGAGGCGCCGTCAGGGGGCCCCAGCGCCGATTCGAGGAACCTGCGCGAACCTCAGAGCTTTCATGTTTATGTCATTGCTCGCTCCCCTAACCAAAGACCTACAGGCCGCGCTGGTGAAAGGTCACTCCGGCGAAAGGTCACTCCAGCGAAAGGCCTCCAGGGCCTTCCAGGTTCTGGCCGCCGCCGGCGAGGGCCCTGTTGGCGCCCGGCGGGGCCCGAGGCCTGCATGGGTTGCTCGGACGATGTACCATCGGAGCGTGGGCACTAGAGCGCGGGCCGAGAACGTGCGCACCTGCGCCGAAGGCCCAAGGGCTCATGGAGATAACGCAACACGAAAAGAGCTCAGGGTGGAGAGTGCAGCAACATGTGGAGGCACCCCAAACGGAGGGCATTCCAAGGTGGAGGGCCAGAACGGTGCTCAACCCTCGTGCGCGCTGTAGAGGGCCGCTGGATGAAGAGAAGAATGGAGATGTGCCAAAGTCTCCGACGCCGTGGTTTCGTTCGATTTCGGCGTTCAGAGACAAGACGCCCATTTCGGGTCCCAGGACCTTCCGATCGCGAACCGAAAAAGGAAAAATGGCTCCCCTTGGAACGGGAGATGCCTCTGCCGGATGTCCGGGTCAGCATGGGAGCCCCCGCCCCGGCTCCACGATCTTGTCCACGATCTCCACCTGCGGGACGTCCACGAACTTCTGGGACACCGACACCATGGGGAGGTGCCGATGCTTCTGGACCGGCACCTGCGGGCGCCGCAGTGCGACCCGGCGCGGCTGCAGTCGGGAGGCCTCCGAAGCCCGAGGAGTGGTGCGGGATGATCATGGCGGCGAACGCAGTGAGAATGGTGGTCCCTCTGAACGTGAAGGCGGTCGAGGCCCATTGTGATGACAACAACGACAAAGATGGCGATGATGATAGTGATGATGACGACGATGGCGACGATCATGGTGATGGTGATGGTCCAGGATGTGCAGATGACGATTACGACGACGACGATGATGATGGTCATGATGATGACGACGACGATGATGACGATAATGACGATGACGATGACGATGAAAATGATAATGATGATGATGATGATGACGATGACGATGACGATGATGAATGATGAATGATGATGATGATGATGATGATGATGATGATGATGATGATGATGATGATGATGATGATGATGATGATGATGATGATGATGATGATGATGATGATGATGATGATGATCAGGACGGTGATCGATGACATATCTAGCAACGCTGCAGCGGAGGCGAAGCGGGGCAGGAGGGACGCACCGACCCCCCCGACCTTGATGATGATGATGCTGCTGCTGATGATGATGATAAGATGATAATGATGGTCATGATGATGACGACGACATTGACAAGATGGTGACGATCATGCTCCTGATATTGACGATGATAATGGCGATGGACCATATGATGATGACGATGATGCTGATGCTGATGCTGATTGTGATGATGATGATGATGATGATGATGATGATGATGATGATGGCGATGATGATGACGATGATGATGATGATGATGATGACAATGTTGATGCTGATGCTGATGCTGATGCTGATGCTGATGATGATGATGCTGATGATGATGATGATGATGATGATGATGATGATGGTAATGATGGTAATGATGGTAATGATGGTAATGATGATGGTGATGGTGATAATGATGATGATGATGCTGCTGCTGATGCTGATGCTGATGCTGATGCTGATGATGATGATGCTGATTATGATGATGATTATGACGGTGATGCTGATTATCGTTATGATCATGATCATGCCGATGACGACAGTGGATTACGGGCTCGTAGGACACAGAGGACAAGCACATCGAAACAAATGTCCAAGGCCGCTCCCGGGGAACCCCAGCGAGAACGGGGAAGCCCAGCCCACCGCAACCAGATGGGAAGGGGAGGGGCATGGTTCAGCCGCCTGCCCACTGGTCCCGCGACAGAAGACCATGATGCTTACAGTCGGCCCGTATCGTGAAGATGCGCGATAAGGATGCAAGGGCCTTGGACGCCAACTTCGAAGCTTTTCGAGCGGGGCGAGACCACCGAAAGTGGCAAAGGATGGGCCGAGGAGGTATGGATGCAAGGATGCAAGGATACCCTTGGGAAAGTCGCTCATCCTCGCTGTGCGGGTCGACTGTACGACGACGACTGCGACGATGAGACGCCCCTGGGGGCGATGACCCCCGAGTTATGCAGACTCCAACGGCAGAAGTGCTGGGCTACCCGTTTTTTTTCAACCATTTCCTGGGATTGCGGCGCGGTCCTCATGCCGCGAAGGGCTGTGAACTGACAGCCGGGGGCAGTAGAAAGCTCCAAAGGTGGAGGAGGGAGAAGGGGGAGGCCCTGAAGAGATGCACATTTAGCTGCTCCTCGAGGGAGGCATGGAGGCAAGATTGGGTGCGCGGGGCGCCCCCCCAAAGGGCCATCTCTCCCGCGGGGAGGCGTCGGAGAGTCGCCAGAGGCGAGTTGGGAAGGAGAAGAAGATCCCCCCCCTCCTCCTCCTCCTCCTCCTCCTCCTCCTCCTCCTCCTCCTGCTCCTCCTGCTCCTCCTCCTCCTCCTCCTCATCCTCCTTCTCCTCCTCCTCCTCCTCCTCCTCATTCTCATCCTTCCCACCCTCCTTCGCCTCACCCCCTCCTCATCCTCGACTTTTTAGGAAGGTGCAGGGAGGCTCTCGGGTGCAACTCGAGGCGCTCCTTGAGGGTCGCTGTGGCGAGATCGCCGAGCCCAGGAGGTTCCCCTGAGAGCCTCGGGCGTGCCCCTCGGGGTCGCCGCTCCCTCTCCTCCTCGCCCGCGCTCCGCCGACCTCGTGCTGCCCGCGACCACTTCGCAGCAACCAATTGAACGTCACGCATCGTCCGTCTTCTCGACGGTCCAGGACGCCGCGTAACGGCCCTCCAGACGCGGGTACGCGCGAAGGACAGGTTTCCTGATCGTCTCAGTACGTCGGCGACCTGGACGGGGGTCGAACAACCATCCCCCCCCCAGCCATGCCCGTCCAGGGGCGCTTTCTGACCAGAGTGGAGGCCCTGCCAGGGCCACGAGGGCGCCCCGGGAGGCCCAGAAGCACGCAGGACCCTGGGCCGAACGCCACCAGACAAGATGGAGATGGCACGGAGTTCTGCCTCTTCTCCAGTGTCGAGGTGCTCCTCAGGCCGCTCTGGGGTACACTTCGGCCTGCCTTCCTGCTCTCCTCGGCTTCTTCGGGGCCTTCCCGGTCCGTCCGGATTCCCTTCAGGGTCGGCGGAACTGGCTGAATAGGGGAACAAGAAACAGCATAATAATAATTTCTCGGAGGTCCGCGCGGGTTTATTGGATCGGCGCTGGACCCCCTCTCTGCCGCGCGGAACCGAAAGAAAGTATGGTTATGCCTGTCCTGGTTCTTCGATTCCGGGAGCCCCCTGACCCCCCTCCAGGCTCGGCGGAACCGGCCGTAAAGCCTCCCCTATATTGCTCCTCAAACGCTCCTCCCCTGCCGTCCCTCCCCGTCCAGCACCGAGCCCACGCAGCGCTGCCAACGAACGAGCCAGCGAACGGGGCCTCCTCCTCCGTCCCCTCCTGTTGCCCCTCGCCCTTCCCTATCCCCCTCACTCTCCTCGTCTTCCCCCCCCCCTCCCCCCTCGCCCCCCTCGCTCCCTCCTCCCTGCCCCCTCTCGCCCCCCTCGCTCCCTCCTCCCTCCCTCCCCCTCGCTCCCCCCCCCCCCATCGCCCCCCACGCCCCCCTCGCTCTCTCCTCCCCCACTTCTCCTCGAACCACGGAGCAGCGCTCGGCTCGAGCTCGGCCGGCCGCGGCGGCGGGGGGGCGCGTGGATGTGGTGGTCGACGAACTCGATCTGGGCGTGGGGGCGGGAGCTTCGCACCCCGCGCGGACAGCTTGAATCGGCGCTGGGCCCCCCCTCCCCCGCGAGCAAAGGGCGCCAGGGGCGGCGCCAGATGCGCCTCAAAGGGGGGCTCGGCGCCGATCCAGGAGATCCGCGCGAGGCTCCGAAAGCCGACGCTCGTGCATCACATTCGTTTTCGAACCCCAGGACGAGGCTCGAGGCTCGAGGATGGGGGGGCAGGAGGCAGTGACAGTGACAGAGGAGGCAGAGGAGGCAGCGTGGTGGTGGACAAACTCCGCCCGTGCTTGGATGCGGGAGCCGCGCACGCCCAGGGATGAGGCTCGAGGAGATGCAGGGGGTAGACTGGAGGCAAGAGGCGAAGGCCGCGCACCGCCGTCGCCATGATTACTTCTCCTGGCTACCGCGCGGAGAAGCAGCAGCAGCAGCAGCAGCAGCAGCAGCAGCACTGCCGCACGGCGCCCCCCCCCCCCCCGGAGGCCTGACGGATCGCAAGTCGGCGGCGACCCAGAATTGGGGCCTGGAGGGATGGGGCCCTGTTGAACGTAAAGTCTGAAGCCAGGTTGAGTGCACACTGTTTGGAGCCAGGATAGGAAGGGAACCCCAGTTGAATGTACACTGTTTGAGGCCCCTCGTCCGTAGGGCCCCATCCCTCAGGCTCAGGGCCCCACAGACCGAACAGCCGAATCTTGACTCCTCGCCACAACTTCCCCGACTGGAAGAGAAGGGGCTCTTGGACCTCCCTTGACCCTCTCCTGGAGGGGGGGCTCCCAGCGGGGGGGTCCTTCGTGGCCGCATCTGGACCTCCTTGGACTTCGGGCCAAAGGGCTCCAAAGGGCCCCTGGACAAATCTGGGGACGGATTTGTTCGGGAGGGCGGGGCGGAAAAAGAGAGGAGAGGATATGATCCTGGAGAAGGACCCAAACGTACGCAGTTGTGAATACCGCCGTTATGAGAACTACCCTACGTGGAGCTCCCTATGGGCACGAAGCGCGCGAAAGGTGCGCCGCAATGGGGCGGGGCGGCCATGCGGGCGCTGCCGCTTGGGCCTTCGGTAGGGCTCCCTATGGGGCCGCGAGACGTGTGCGGGGTGTGCCAAAGCGGCGGGGGTGCGGCATGCGAACCATGCCACTGGGGCCTCTGGTGGAGCTCCCTATGTGGCCACGAAACGTGTGAGGGGCGTGCCAAAGTGGAGGGGGGGGGCGGCATGCGAACCATGCCACAGGGGCCTCCGGTGGAGCTCCCTATGGGGCCACGAAGCGCGCGAGAAGCGTGCCACAGTGACGGGGGTAACGGGAGTGCCGAACTTGCTGACGTGCGGAGGGCGGAGGCAAGGGTGGGAGGAGGGAGGAGCGGGAGGAGAGGAGGGGATGAGGAGACGCGGGCACTGTCTCTTCAAAACGAGGACCCAGCACCACAGGATGGTTGGGACGATTATCCTGGCGAAGGACCCAACCACATGCATGTGGCAATTTCGCCGTTGTGGGTCTGGCCTTCTGTGGATCTCTTTTTGATGCCACGAGGCGTGTAGACGGTGCGCCGAAGCGAGGTGGGGACACCTGCGGGCGCAGCCACCGCCACTGGGGCCTTCGGTGGAGCTCCCAATGCGGCCACGAGGTGCTGTACCGGGTGCAGGAAACGCACGCGAACGCCGCCACCGGGGCCGGGCGGAGCTCCCTCTGGAGCCGCGAAGCGCGGGGGAAACGCATATGCGAACACCGCCGCGGGTGCCTCTTCGGTGGAGCTCCCTGCGGGGCCGCGAAGTGCCGTACCGCGTGAGGGAAACGCGTGCGAACACCGCCACGGGTGACTTCGGCGGAGCTCCCTGTGGGGCCACGGAGCGCTGTTCTGGGCAGGGGGAGCAAATGCGAACACCGCCACTGGGATGTTCGGTGGAGCTCTGTATGGGGCCATGAAGCGCTGTGCTGGGCGGGGGAAATGCATGCGAGCCCCGCCATTGGGGCCTTCGGTGACGCTCCGGGTTTCGGATTGAGGGCGGGCCGTTTTCAAAATGTGGCTCTCGCTTTATGGCCTCACACATTCGTATTCAAAATGTGCAAGAGCTTCACGGATTGAGAGCGAGTCTTTTACCCTTCGGGTGATAAGGAGGTTGTTGGGGGGAGACTCAATCGATCTCACTATCGATCTCACTTTTTGGGACACCACGGGACACCTCGGGGCACCACATAGATCTCAATATCGATCTCAGTATCGATTTCAATATCGCTCTCACTATCGATCTCACTCAACGGGACACCACGGGACACGACGAGACACCACGGGACACCGCGAGCCGCCGCCAGACGGACGGACGGACGGGCGGGCGGGGGAGAATCATGTATCTTGACTTCGCCCTAGCAACGGCGAACACCACGGGACACCACGGGACACCACGGGACACCGCGGGATACCGCGAGCCACCGCCGGACGGACGGACGGACGGGAGCGAAACATTTGTCTTGACTTCGCCCTAGCAACGGCGAACACCACGGCACACCACGGGACACCGCTAGGGCCACTGCCGGCCGGACGGACGGACGGACGGACGGACGGGGGAACAATATTTGACTTGACTTCGCCCTAGCAACGGCGGGTTCATTCCTCTCGCGCGCCCACGCAGCTTCGCCATGCCCGCACGCACGACACGAACGAAACGAAACGATTTCCCGGTTGGCGGTCTCCGTTCCACTGAGATCTCTCCCCCCAACCTCCGACGGATTCAAGGCGGGTGGTTTCCAAAAATGACTTTCGCCTGATCGCGGCGCACAGTTTTCTTGGCTTGTTTGACAAATGTCAGAGCTTCACGGATTGAGGGCGGTTCCTTTTCAACATGTGGCTCTCGCCTTAGCGACGCGCGCATTCGTTTCTAAAACTTCGCATGCAATTGGTTGGTTATCATGCTCAACGTACCAGGGACGGCGATTTGGAACGATTCAGGACTGTCAAGACGCAACTCTGGCGTTGATTCGCGGTGTTGGAGTCCCCGGAACGGTGTGCTGGCACGATTCAGGATCATCAAGACGCAACGGTCAGGTTGACCCGTGGCGTTGAAGTCCTGAGAAAGGGTGTTTTGGCACGTTTCGCTATTTTCACACGGCTGTCCCCCAACGGGCACTTCCCTCGCAAGAACGGGCTCCCTGTAGCGTCCTATGAAGAGGGAGCTCGGGGGGAGGGCGTATTCCGACATCGGTGAAGACTCGTGGCCTTACACTGGTCCTTTCCTCCATCTCATCATTATTATCACCACCACCACCTCGCGACGATGATCATCGCCATCAGCATTCGCACCATCATCAGCCTCATCATCAGCACCATAATCATCCACATAATCAGCATTAGCATTGGCATCATCATCATCATCATCATCATCATCATCATCATCATCATCATCGAATCGTAGTCATCAGCAGCACGACGGGCCTCACAATCCTCATCGCCGCCACCGCATCAACATCAGCACCAATACCACACACAGCACCAACATCGGCATCAACATCCGCATATATAGGAATGTTACCAGTATCTCCATCACCAACATCATCACAACCATGTGTCAGCATCGTCAACAACATCAAATCAACATCATTACAACCATCACTATCGTCAAAAGCATCACAATCATCGTCATTACGGTCATCGTCATCATCATCAATACCACCATCATCATCATCATCATCATCATCATCATCATCATCATCATCATCATCATCATCATCATTACCGCCTCCATCGCCATCGCTATCGCAACTATCACCACTACTATCACCATCGCTAGAACCATCACCGTCGCCACCATCATCATCAGCAACATCATCACCAGCATCACCATCACCCTCACCCTCACCCTCACCCTCACCATCACCATCACCATCACCACCATCATCATCATCATCAGCATCATCAGCATCATCATCATCACCATGTAGGGAACCGAACTCTATATATACCAATGCTTTTTTCGGCCCTGCACTGCAATTTGTACAGGACAGCGGATCCTGGGGTATACGGGTCCCTGTTGTATGCATGTTCCAATGTTTCCAAGGAGCACGGGGAAACCAGTATACATTACACCACCCCAGCGTCGTCCCCGACCCTCAAAAAGTCCTGGGATTGAAAAACGGGCCGCCACTGGTAACGTATAGGCTCCAGCTTCCGACCATGGGCATCATCGTCGCCATGAACATGTTGTCCAAGGCCACGTCCATAGCCCTGCTGCAGAGGAGAGGGGAGGGGGACGGGGGTCGGAAACCTGCAACTCATTAGTCCTTTGCGGCCTGGGCCACTCGGCCAGGCGCGCCGCGAGCGCAGCGCGCCACGCCACCTCGCCCCTGCCGGGCGCGCGCGGGCGGCGCCAGCAGGAGGGCCGCCGCCCGCGGCGGCAGCTCGCGGGCCCAGCCCGGGCATGGCCGCGCAGCGAGCGCGCGCCACCGCGGCGCCGAGCAGCCGCACCTGAGGCACGCCACCCACGCAGGCCCGCGTGCGCCTGCAACGCGCGGCCCGAGAACAGCGCGCGCGCCCTCGCTGGGCGGCGGCGGCGCCATGTCGGCTCCGCGGCCCCCTCGCCGCTGCGGGCGGCGCGCCCCGGCGGCGCGGCGCGGACGCCGGCGCCACCGCTTGCGGCGGGGAAGCCCAGCGGGCGATCCAGCGCCGGGCGCACCCGCGGGCCGCCCTGTCCCTGGTTGCTGCGGTTCGCGGTTCGCTTTCAAGGCGGGGAGCTCCAAGGCCGCCAGCAGCTGCTGCGTCGCCGTGAGTGCCCGCAGCTGGTGGGTCCGCGCAGCGCGCAGATCGGGCGGTTGCACCGGCGTTGCAGCAGCAGCGCCCGCCAGAAGGTCGGCCGCTGCGTTGCCCTCCCAATCGGCGTTCACCCCGCGCCCGCGCGCGGCCGCGGCGTCCTGGCGCGCATTGACCCAGCGAGCCGTGAGGCAGACGCTGCGGCAGTGCAGCGCTATCTGGACCCAGAGGTCAGAGTCCGAGCGCGCCCGCGACCCCATTGC